TGACTGTCCTGCAGTCCATTTCTGCCTCCAGTTCTTGGGGCAGAATTTGGACTGACCCAGAGTGAACAGGAAGGGAGAAACAAGGTCAAGTCTGGGGAGTAGCCTAGAGAAAACCCAAGCCAAGCTGCAGACTCTCCCTGCAGTGCTCTGTGCTCACTGCACACTCTGGCTCCAGTAAAGTCTGGAGAGGAGATGGCAGCAGAGGGTGGCTTGGGGGCGGGGCCCAGAACCTCCCCGACCCGTCCTTCCCTATGTGGTGTTCCTAGGGGTGGCCCAGATCCGGTCCCTCCCTGGATCATAGAGCACCCAGTCAATCAATGGAGGAGACAGGACTGACACATTGAGAACCTCAAGCCACAGGATGCACTACAGCCCCTAAGCACCCCAGGAAATCAGAGAAGGGCGAGGAATTAGTGTGAACAGCTGTACCAGAGATGACCTGAAACCTGTTCCCGATGGAGCACCCAAACCCAGAAAGGGACAAGTGGGGGGAAGGGGAGTCCGCCCAGCAGATACACAAATAATTCTTACTCTGGTGAAAACAAGAACTCCACAAGACCAGAGAGAATGGATCAACTGGCGAGTCCAAGGCCGTCATCTTACCCCCGAAGAATGGAGTGGATGGGGCGGGGTGGAGGTCCCTTGGTAGCCACCCCTTGGGCACGCAGCAGCAATCTCCCTGGGGGAGTAAGGAAGGGGCGCCTTCTTAGAGAGGGTTTTATGTTCTGCCCGTTCACCCTGCATCCTTTTCCCCTACTGCCTTTTCTTACAACAATAAAATTGAAAACCCTGCTCAGAGGGAATGGCGTTTCCCTTCTGCCCTTCAAGATGAGATGCCCCCCTATATGTAATGAGGAAGCGAAATTACTTCTAAGAGAAGAGAAGTATTACCGCAGGGTTTAATAAACAAATACGGCAAATCCAAGGTAACCAGTTTCTTCCCTCCGCTTTCCTGCTGAATGCACATGCGTGAGTTTTCTGGAATCTTCTCTCTTCTCCTATCGCACCTCCGCCTGAAAGCCAGGGCAGGGCCTAGAGGTTCACGCCCCAACTCCTCTCTGCCCCTCCCCTCACCCCGCCCCGCCCAGGCTGGCGGGCTCCCGGGCCGACTCACCCTGCTCAGGGGCGCCCCTGACGCCCGCCGCAGCCGGTGTCGCCCCGACGGCCTCGCTCCACCGCGCCCGCCGTCCGTCAGCAGCGCGGCCTGAGCTCCCTCCCGCCCGCTCAGGACTGCCGACCTCAGCTCGGACGGCGCCGGCGCCGGACCGCGCGCGGTCCTCGTCCTCGCCCTCCGGCCCCCACGCCGCAGCAGGCGCGTGCTCCGCCGGCCGAGTGGGCGCGCCCTCGGGGCCTGTGTGCCCGCGGGCCCGGGCGTTTGCGGCCCACCCTTCCGAGGCTCGGCCCGGGACGCGCGGCGGCTCCGGTCCGGTCCGGGTCCGCACGGGGAGGCCGGGCGCGGGGCGCATCCCCGCGCCGAGACCGCCCCTCCACGTGCCCCCAAATGTCCCCACGTGTCCGCGCGGCCGGGAGAGCCCGACACGCGGACGCGGCTCGGCGGGAGAAGGCGCTGACGAAGCCGTCTTCTGCCCGGGAACAGGCCGGGCCTGCGGCGGCCCTCTTGGCGCAGCGGGCAGCGCGTCAGTCTCATAATCTGAAGGTCCTGAGTTCGAGCCTCAGAGAGGGCACGGCGTTTTGCTGCGACGGGCCCGGAGGGGCCACCCAGGCGATTCAACCCCCACCCGAAAAGTGAAATAACAGCTGCAGGCAGGAGCGGCCGATATCCCCTCTCCCGGGAATAAAAACCCCCAAGAAAACGGCAGCGCTGGCGCGACTGCGGGGAAGGGCATCCTGGCTGAGCGGTTCGGCTCCTTTTGCGACACCTGTGAAAATCACTCTCCTAGACATTCTGCCTCCCTTCCCCGGCTCCTTTGCGGGGAGCAGGGCCGTGCCCCGGGCGCTTGGCCGCGGTCTCCGGAGACTGTCCCTGCCCCAGTCCAGCCCCTGCTGTCGGGACGCAGGAAGAGACCCAGCCCCGCTGCGCCGTGATCGGGTGCGGCCTGTGCACCGAGAAGTCGCGGGCGAGGCCATGTGTCTGCGTCGTAGGTTCGATCCTGCAGGGCAGGACCGCCGGCCCCCGACCTAGCCCGGGAGAGCCAGGTGGGGCGGGCAGTGAGTGCTGGCCCATATGACCCCAACCATAGCTTTAGCTGCATCCTTTCTTCAATTTGAGGGCTTTTTTTTAAAAGTAGTATCTAATGTGAGCCAAACTGAAGACACATGCAGGGGGGACAAGGTCTCAAACGTCCTCTGAACCCTTCAATTTTTGGTTATTCAGTTTACAATACTTTCTAATTATTTTGTGATTTAGCCTCTATTAAGTATTTTAATTTCAAAAATAGGAACATTTCTAGTTTCCATTTTATTTATTTCTATCTTAATTGCACTGTGGTCCTAAAACATATTCTGTGAGGGTTAAATCCACCCTGGCCAGTTTGGCAGGGATAGAGCAACGGCAGCGGACAGAGTGCCGGTTTGGTTCCTGCTAGGGGCAGGTACCTCAGTTGCAGTTTGTCCCCCCCACCTCCCTTGGGGTCGTGTGGGTGGCCACCACTGATGTGAGAGAGACGCATGGATGTTTCTCTCTCTTCCTCCCTCTCTCCCTTCCATTCTGTCTGAAGATAAAGGTAAAAATGGCCTCTGGTGAGGATAAAAAAAGAAGAAAGAAATCCTCTGAAATTGATGACCCAGTATATGGTCAAGTTTTGTTAAGTGTTTTGTGTATGTGGGAAAAAAATATATACTGTATAGTGGTTGTATGAATTGTTCTAAGTTTTCTAATGATGTTATTCAACTCTTCTATATATTTTTTAAATATTCTATATTCTTACTAATTTTTATCTAAACTATTTGTCACTGAGAGTTGTCTGTTTTTGTCAATTTTTCTTTATAAATGTTGATACTACATTAATAAATGCATAAAACATAATTTTTGTATCTTCCTGTTGAACATGTATAAAGTGTTCACCTTTATCTCAGATATTACTCTGTATTTAAAAAGTATATGTAATATAAAATTAATATATCAGCTTGCTTGGATTTAGTGTATACATGAAGTATCTTCTTTCTTTTCATACTTTTGGTATCCTTGTTTTAATCTTTTAAACATGTACATCTGAGAATTTTTAAATCCAGTCATATAATATCAACAGATTAATAGAAATATTTCTCTATTTACATTCACTATAATTACTTACATATTTGGACTTAAACCTACCGTCAATGGACCTTATAAGTTTTGGAATCTGTTTGTTCCTATAGTCCAGTAGGATAGATCTAATATTGGCTTCTACCCTCTGTATCATATTTTTGCAGGGATGCTAATTATATTATTTAGAGGCACACTGACTACAGCAGGGTAGGCAAACTGTAGTTAGCAGAACAATCTGGCCACTGCTTGTTTTTATACATAAAGGTTTATTGTAACGCAGTCCCACACATTTATTTATGTATTGTCTATGCTGCCTTCATGACACAGCAGCAGAGTTGAGTAATTGGGACAAAGACTATATGACAAAGCTTAAAATATTTATAACCTGGCCCTTTAACTTTGCTGTTTCCAGGGATATAGTAACAAATAGACTCCAAATTTTATAACAGCTCAAATATAAGTTAATTTCTCTTCCATGTAACAGTCTAAAGTTTCCTCCACATTTGATTTATGGACACGAGATGATTCCAACTCATGGTTCTACAGTCCTCTAGGGCTTCCATATCATTTGCCTTGAGGTAGTAAAAGAGGACAGAGAGCCTGGAGGGGACACCCCTAACTCCTTTAGCCTTGGCCCAGAAGTGAGATGCATTCTTCACTCACGATCTGTCAGCAAGTACTAGGTACCCGACAACTCTCAATGCACAGAATGGCACACTTGGTCCCTGGCTTTGCAGAGGCCTACCTGGCTTGATTTGGGGAGCTGGGGGTTTTTTTCATTATGGAGAAGGCCAGAAAAAGATTACATTATCACATCCTCAAACATGAGGAAGCTGCCCGGAAACAGGTAAGTAGCTTTTGAATGGCACCAAATGCCAGAATTGGGATCAGGACTTCCAAAAACTCAGATAAAATGAAGTATTGTAAAGCAGAAAGCTAAAAGGAAAGAGAGCCCTTCCTCAGATATGGTTAGACGAGCTGATGGAACCTGAGCCCTGGATAGGTGGCTCGGTCGGCTGGAGCATCCTCCCGGAGCATCCTCCCACACACCAAAAGGTGGGGTCGATTTCAGGTCAGGGCCCATACCTAGGTTTTGGGTTAAATCCCCAATCAGGACATGTACAAGAGGCAACCAATGTTTCTCTCTCACATCAATGTTTCCTTTCTCTCTCCCTTCCTCCCTCCCTCCCCCTTCCTCTCTCTCTAAAAATCAATAAAAACACATATCCAGGGATGATTTAAAAAAAAAAAGAGTTGAGCACTGTTGGTCTACCAACTGTAGTATACAGTCTGAAAGTTTGTACATGTACATATATTTCTTCTTGAGCCTTCTTAAATTCCAAGAATTCCCTGACCACTCCCCACCAAAAAATAAGTTACAAGCAAAACTAAGCCTGGTCTAAAATTCCTTCCCCACCCTGGAATGTGCTGACTGGGGGTATAAGCAGTTCACCACAATGAGTTTGTTATTGGAAAATAATGACCACATATTCAGGTCATTTTGGTTTTTGCTTTTCTGTTTTACTAATTATAAAGGTATGTTTCCCCACCAAAACCCAGCAGTCAGTGGCGTAAAAAATAACAGAGTGAGAAATCCCTAAACTGTACAATAAAAAACCTGGGAGTGCAGGCTAGGGGTGTGTTTTGGGGGGTGGCGGGGGACAGACAGATGACCTGCCATCAAGAAGGTGGAGATACAGGAGGCGTTGGATGTTGTCCAGCACCCAAGGTCACCCTCTCAGCACGCTGGCTTTCTCTGGGTCTTCACCAGCAGGACCACAGCACGCAAACTTCAAAACAAGAGCTGGTAAACTGTGGCACAGTTCTTGGAGCCAGTGACTAGATACTGGTTGTCGGAGGACACATCGCAACACAAGATTTCTGTAGACTCCTCTTCCTGGAAGAAAAGAGAGGCCAAAAAAAGGGACTACATGTAGGGTCCAGGCTTGGGCAAGAGATGGAGGCTTCATTTAGGGCTCTTTCAAGACTCAGTTTGGAGAAAGGGCTGAGTCTCAGGGCTCAAAGTGGAGCCCCTGAGTTTACAGGACCTGAAGTCCTCATTGCCCCTGTCATTAGATGCCCTGGATGCTATCTCAGAGGTACTTTCCAGCACTAGTTCTGGGACCTGACCCACTGGGATCTGGGGCTACAGCTCAGAGTTCCTGGGTTTTCACACCCCTCCTTCTGGTACCTGAAACAACCTTTGTAGAGAAGGTGCAGATAAGCAGTGGATTGACTCATCCAGTGTGGTCACAAAATAGCTCCCTGTGAAGGAAAAACAGATGGAGAGGCCAGATACTACATCTAGTCCTAGCTCTGTTACCAGCTGGACTGGGGAAAAGGTTTCTCTGCCTTAGTTTCCCTAAATATAAAAATCAGAAACACAACATGAACCATTCTGTCATCTGCCCCCACCCTCCAGCCATACACAGGAGCATGGTGAGCATCACTGAACAAAGGACAGTCAGCTGGGGCTTGGTGCCTCTTCTGCCTGCCTGTGTCTTCAGGCTGTCATTCTGTGGAGGAAGCTACCATTTCAGAGAGAGCCAGAAAGGGAGAGGGGATGAGTAAAGAGAGAAGACAGGAAAGGCCATCAGAGAGAGAAACACCAGTGGGGCAGGGCAGGGGTGGGGTGATGCAGAGGCGAGAACAGTGGGAAGGTGGACACTCGGATCTCTGTTTGGCCAGTGTTGGGGCTAGAGAGGGAGGAATTAAGAGTCTGAAATAAGGCTGGGCCCAGACACTACAAGTAGACACCCTGTAGTGTGACAGGTCACCCCGAGGTGTCAGCTGGCTTCTCACTCACCACAGGAGGAAAACTTGAGGTTGTGGTGGTGGACATATTTATGTACAACAGCCTTGAAGGCCTCCTTCCGGTGCGCGTGCAGGATTATGATATCGCTTGTTCTCAGGCCCACTAGCATCCACTCCTCACTGGGGTCGTGGGAAATGCTGAGGATCTGTTGGGAAGAAGGTTTGAAGTCAGCACTCAAGGCTGCCAACTCCATCCTTTGTGCCCACCTCCAAATTCAGGCCTATGCCTGCAGGCACCCACAGTTCCCAGTGACGGGGGACCACACTCAGCCCACCGGGGACCGACCAGGCACCTCATGGTGCAGGCTGTATTGCTGCAGCTTCTGGAAGCTCCTCAGGTCCCAGGAATACAGGCTGGTGTCTTCACCTCCAGTCCAGAACTTATTGCCCGTGATATCCACACATCGGGACCCATATTCAGGGACTTTGTGCTTCCTGGTGGGAAACAACTCAAGAGGTTTGTGTATTGGTTGGACCCCCAGAAGTTTTGGGCCCAGAAAGGCCCTAGAAGGACCCCAGATATGTTCTCCATACTGACTCACCTAGTCCTACTACACAGAGGGGAAAGTGAGGTCCAGAAAGGACACATGCTTTCCCAAAGGCCTTACCAGCAGGCCCTCCCCCAGGTCATACCTGATCAAGATTTGGTTCTGCAAATCCCAAATCTCAACAAAGCCTTTGAAACAAGCCAAGCAGATCTGGGCATTGGAGGAGATGGCCAGAGAGTAGCATATTGGGCCTGTGGAGGCCAGGTGTGCCCTGATGCGGGGTGTGGGTGCCAGGTCCCAAAGAGTCAAGGTCCGGGACACACCCCCAGTGATCAGGCTCTGCTCATCGGGGAACAGCTTGCAGGTGAGAACACAGTTATGATGGCCCTGTAGGAACAGTTCACATTCTCATATCACCTCCTCAGAATCATGTCTGGGTTCCCCCAAGCTCTTCTAGAATACCTCTCACCTGAAAGTTCAGCTGTGCCTGAGGGGCTTTGTTCCAGGTGTGCAGAGCACTCTCATCCCACACCCTGATGTAGCCATGACCACACGTGTACACATGGTGAGTCAAGCTGCTGATGGCAATGGCACAGACTTTCTTGCCATGGCACAGTTTGCCAACCTTCCAGGATGCACGTGGGGTCCTCTGCCTGACCACCACTTCATCTGCAACGGGAGGCTGGGGAGTGGAGGAGGTGGGTGGCCTTGAATGGGTCACTGCCCTGGGCTACCATCATCTATGGGGGACCACCTGCCCCTGTCCTCTGACTACATTCCTAACCATTTATCCAACAGATCCTCTCTCACCCCCAGGCAGAAGTGTGTCCTCATCTGGGGACCCCAGACCACTGACTTCTGCACTAGCCCAGGTCATGCTCAGGTCTCCCTCCTTGATAAACAGGGCCACGTTTTTGAGGCAATTCCGAGCACCAACAGCAAAAGCAGAGCCTGGCTCAGAGTCCCTTAGGACGCAGCTCTAGAAGTAGGGACGCTGATCGGAGGCCCTGTGAACTAGGGGGGTGCAGCCTAGTTCACAAGAAGCAGGGAGCCACAGGATGGCCATCACCGATGGGAGAGAGAATGAGTGTGGACACAGTACACACCCTTCACTTTCTTCCTACTAGCTCCTTGTTTAGGGGTGGGTAACAGAGAAGAACAAGAGCCCATGTTTTTGTTTTGTTTTGTTTTGTTTTGTTTTGTTTTGTTTTGTTTCAAAGACACTTACAATTGCTCTGAGGAATGACCAGACTTCTTCACTGGGAGGAGGCGAAGGACAAGGCTGGCCTGCAGAGAAACATAATGCCACCTGCTCACAGAGAGGGCATCTGGCAGCCTACTCTTCTGACACCAGGTTTTGTTCCTAGTTCCCATCTGAGGGACTTGACCTACCACCCTCCCTGCCCACACTGTCCCAGTGGGACTTACCAAACTCGAATCCTGGTAGGCTGCTATGACAAATAGAGAGAAGAGAGGGAGGGGAGAGAGCATGAAATGGAGTGCTCCATGCTAGGGCCCCCACCCACCAGGTCAGTTCCTGCCCCCCACCATCCTGTGCAAGGGAGACCTACCTAGAGCCAAACTCTGCTTCCTCTCTTGGCTCCCCATCAGAGAACCAGCTGGCCTGGAGCTCAGACCTGTCTAGGGCCTGGAGGGCCCACTGCTGCGGGCTCAGAGACCTCATCTCCTGATAAACAGGGCCATGCTGTGCTGAGGAACCTGGGGGCCACTGGGGTGTACCATACACCCCATCCAGTTGGGACTGTGCATGATGCCCAGCCTGGGAGGAAATGCCAGAGCTTTCTGGCTCATACCTCCTCTCCTCTGGTTCATCGTAAATTCTGAGAATACTGAATGAGGTTTCTTCCTTCTTCCCACTCATGTTCTTAGATCAATGAAGTGCCTGAGTCCCCTGGCTCTAGGGCTTGAGCAATGGGCCCATCAAACAGATGCTGGGTTCCCAATTTGTCCTGACCCCCTGTAATAAGAGAGAGAACAGATCCGATGTTTGGGGTCTATCTGAAGGGTCAGATAAACTTCTCATGGTGAGGATTCAAAAGACTGGCTGCTGACTAACTTTTTATACAAAACACTGGCAGCAGTAGTGACAAGTCTCGCACACACATTTCAAGATGTTACTAGGCATTATGTTTTCCTTCTAGACACACAAACTGCATTTCTGTCCCCCCAAATCAAATTCAACCTTTAATCTGGTGGTAACTTTGTCAAAGGAAGGCTCATTCCCAGTGTAAATAAAACGTAAGGCAACAGGAAACGCCACTCACATCACAGGGCCTCTCGCCCCCTGGAGGGGACAGCGTGGAAGAACTCGGAAGAAGTCATGCGAACATGATGTTCCATTTGCATGGGGCAAGGTTGCAGAGCCATGAAGAGGGTGGCTGGTGGTAATAATCTTTCCTACCTTATGGGAGAACTCTAAGAACTGAATGGAATCATGCATACAGAATACTTAGAATTATATAAAGCTAGTGACAAACAAGCAATGTAAGTGGCAGAGATTGTGTTTATTTGTGGACTGTGACAGGGACCACCGCTCAGAGGATTTAAGGCAGACCAAGTGCTTTCATTCAGTCTAGCCTCAGAAGGCCCTGGGGAGGCCCAGCGTGCCATTAACAGGGACATTAGAAGCTTCAGGGACAGAATGATGGTGGGGTTGGGGAGGGTATCTTTCCATGGGAACCAATGCCTCATTGACCTGACTCAATCGTTGGCTCTCAGACATCACTTCTCTTGAATGCTCCAGCAGACACCCCCCCGAGAACCCAGGCTGTCTGCCCTTAGGAATATGCAGAGGGCAGCTGTATTGCAGCCTCCTCGACTCTTGACACCTTTGAGCTCTTGGTATGTGTCTGGCCCTCAACCAAATGCTTTACACAGCTGAGCCATTTTATCTTCACAATGTGTGGGCCACATTTCATAGATTTTTAAAACTGAAGCTCAGAGCAGGTGAGCATATAGCTAGAAAGTACAGAGAAGAGGTTCAAACACTATCCTGTCTGGGCTCCAAACAGTCTCTTTTCCTACCTCCCCATCAGAGGAAGGAAGGCAACATCCACCATAATTACAAATGCAGTTTCCCTTGGACCTAGCACTTCCATTTTAAATAATTTGTCCTAAAAGTGCACTTGAATGTATGCAAGAAAATACAGGTACAAGCTAAAGCACTGGTTATGATAGCAGATGACTGGACAAACCCAAAGGAGAAAACTGATTAAACAAGTTACAGTATATGCATAAATTGGAATACTATGCAACTGTTAAAAATGATAAGGATAGCCCTGGCCAGTGTGGCTCAGCAGTTAGGGCATCAGCCTGCGGACCAAAGAGTCGAGAGTTCGATTCCAGTTAAGGGCATGAACCTCAGTTGCAGTTCGTCCCTGGCCCTGATCAAGGTCGTGCAGGAGTCAACCAGTCAATGTGTCCTCTCATGTCGATGTTTTTCTCTCTCTCTCTCCCTCCCTCCCTCCCTCTCTATCAGAAGATAAATGGAAAAATATCCTTGGGTGAGGATTAAAAAAGTAAATAACACAGACACTAATAAATAGATATGGAAAATCCCATGGTGCATTAATGAGGGGAGAGTCAGACAATATGCAGCTTTTGTGTAAAAGAATGGAAATCAGAACTTTCTTTGCATATGTTTGTATGCACATATTAGGAAGAGTGGTTACTTTGAGGATGGAAATTGGCAAACAGGAAAGAAGAATGGGAGGGAGATTTGCTGCTAAATAACTTGGAATAGTTTCTACATATTTGTGGCTATTTGAACCTAAATAAAAAACTGAGCCTTTTTCTCAACCAAGTCCTTTCTTTCTTATCTTCCCCCAAATGATAATTTGAGGCCCTGATGATTCTTAGTTACTTGTTTAAATAATTTAACAAATTCGCCCTGACGCATGTCAGGCTCCTTTAATTGGGCCACCAGGACTGGCTGGGCCCTAGTGAGGGTAAAAGTACAGAGCACACGTGTTCTCAGCCCACTGTGATGATGGGGGGCGGGGGGTGGGGTTGCGCAGCTGCCCAGGCCCCCTCTTGGGGGTTGGGTAAAGCCTGAAGTCAGTGAGGCCATTTAACCAGGATTTCACCCTAAGAATAAGACAAGGCTTTGTAGAAAGAGCAGAAAGAGGAGTCAATAGCCCTGATTTCCCCTCTGCACTATCCCCAGAGCTGGGAATACAGAGACCTCTCCCCTTACCAGGCAACTCCCTCTTTCCCAAGCTTCAACACAAGTGCTAGAGCTGGGAGTCAACCCTGCCAACAAGATAAGCACTCAGCCAATGCCCATGCATGAAACTCACCTCTGAAAGCAGAAGGTCACACCCTGGAGACGGGAAGTTAGCAGAGCTGAGAGCTAGCTAGTGTTGGGAACCCCTGTCCCCCAGCTGTTGACCTTCCCTTCCACACCCAGGACTGTCCCCACTCCCACAGTGCTGCAGTTTTTAAACTTGAGCCTAATTGCAAGCAAGCCCTGGGTCAGGTGTCTGGGCCATGAATGGCTCATCTACTGGGTGTGGCCACAACCACAGCCAACCGCACAGCCACCACTGGGCTGCCATTTCCAATTAACCCTGTGTCCTTGGGCAAGGGGCAAGATAGGATCTGCCAAGTAAATTCATGGCAGGAGGATAGATGGAGTGAGTTTTTAGAGAGACAAGTCTTTGGATTGTGTTTCGGCTGCTCCATAAGAGCTAGTGTTTGCTCAAAGATGGACAGTTGGGCCCAACTGGTGTGGCTCGGTGGTTGAGTGTCTACCCATACACCAAGAGGTTTCCAGTTCAATTCCTGGTCTGGGCACATGCCCAGGTTGTGGGCCAAATTCCCAGTGTAGGGGCATGCGGGAGGCAGCCAGTTGATGTTCTCTCTCATCGATGTTTCTATCTCTTTCCCTCTCCCTCTCTCTAAAATCAATAAAGAATAAATGAATAAAAAGATGGACAGGGGTTGGTCTGTACACAAGAGCCATTCCAAATTTTCATCTCCAAGTGAAGCCTCTTTGCTTAGGAAGGCTGGCCTTGGCCTTGACCAGTTTTGCTCAGTGGTTAGAGCGTTGACCTGCAGACCAGAGTCATGGGTTTGAGTCCAGTCAAGGGCATGTCTCGGTTTTGGTTCAATCCCCGGCCCTGGTTGGGATCATGTGGGAGGCAATCAGTCGATTTGTCTCTCTCACATCAATGTGTTTCTCTCTCTCTCTCTCTCTCTCCCCACCTCCCTCCCTCCCTTCCTCCCACTCTATCTGAAAATCAATGGAAAAATATCCTCCAAAAAACTGGTTAGAGTGTCAGCCTGCGGACCAAAGGAAGCCTGGCTTTGGGCTGACCCAATATAGGTGATTGTGAGAGGGAGGAGGAGCGACTTTTCTTTTTCTTCTCCTGTTCTGACTTGAACAGGCCTAGCTCTATGATCATTCATCTTTCACCAATGTCTCTAAAAATGAAGACCCAGGGAAGACTTTCTTTTCTGTGGCTGTCTCATCCAGTGGTTCTTAAATTTGAGCACTCATCGGAACCCCCTAGAGAGCTTATTAGAACAGAGTGCAGGGCCCCACTCGCAGAGATTCTGATTCTGTAGGTCTGGGGAAGGGCTCAATACTTTGTATTTCTAACACAGTCCCAGGTGATGTCATCATGCTGCCACTGCTGGTCTAAGGACCCCAATTGAGAAGCACTGTCCATCCCCTCTGTCTGGTGGTCCCTTTCTGGCAGGAGTGGAAAGGGCGGTGAACTGGATCCTCTCCTGCTCTGCTCCCTCTATTCACCTTCACCACTGGCCTGGCCCCGCCTTCACACTGAACTGCACTCTTCTGTTCTAGTTTCTTTCTCATTCATTGACCTCAGGTAGTTTGGCTGGTGGTTTACTTACCTTCGCTTCCCTAGGAGATGAACCAGCAAGCGGCCGGTGCCCCAGCCCAGAGACCTGGCCAGCTATAGTTGTTGTTGGTGGTGGTGGTGGTGGTGAGCCCCAGCATTTGGTGGGCGAACAGTGTTTGGATCCTCACAGCCGGACCTCAAACTTCAGGCTCCAGATCTTTATTTGGAGGCTGGAGCGCCCTCCGGTGGGCAATAGGAGAGTAACCCAATTCTTATCACCTGTAAGACGTTTGTGTTCATAGCCTTGGGCACTTGATGGCGTTGCTCAGGGTACGGCTACCCTGCCTAACTCCCACCCCATCCAGCACTAGAGCCCCCTGGGAATGCACCTGTAAGGCTGTTGACAAAAATGTATAAACCATATAAACACAGGCACAAAAACTTCTTCCCTTACTGATTCACTGACATCATCCACTCAACAGGAATTATGCCCCAGCAAGATCCCGCCTGGCCAATGAGCTGTCCGCCAGTGAACTTGTGGTCCACGGGGAGGGCCGGTAAACCAGCAGCTCCACGTAGAAGGGGGGGGGGGTCAGAGAATGGGACCGATTAGACAGAGGTGAGAGCAGAGAGCTGGGGAGGACACAGGGCAGGCAATGCTGACCAAGAGACCAGGGAGGCCATCAAGGGGGAGGGGCTTTTGTCCGAGCTCAGTGTGGAGAGGGAGGAGGAAGCCCCCGAGTAGAAGGGGTACTACATGGCACAGCCAGGACCCTCCTCGCTGTTCACCTGGTCCCTGTGCTTCCTCTGCCCTCCCTCCCTGTCATGGGGCCTCCCACCACCACTCCCCAGCAGGTGCCCTCCCCAGGGAGCGTGGGGCGGGCCCTACCTCCCCCTTCTTGTGTGGTTCTTACCCAGCTCGGCCGCGGGCGGGCGCTGTGGAACACTTGCATTCCGAGTCCTGCCCGGCTCCGGCCCGGCCCCATCTACGCTCCCTTTAAGCAAAGCCCGCTGCCCCTCACTGTCCGGGCCCCGCTGGCACTGACCCTCCTCACAGCCCTCCACGGTAGCCCTGCTTGTGTGCGTCTACGGGTGGGCCTCTGAGGGACTGGGGGGCGGGTTATGCTTCTTTTAAGAAAAGTTGCAATGCGCTGGCCTAACCGTTCCGAGGGCCCCGACTCGGGACGGCGCGGGCTGTCGCCGCTGCCCGCTCTGCGCGGCGGGCCCGCGGACTTCCGGGTCCCTGAGCCGGTCCGCCCGCCCTGGCGGCGGTGCACAGACTTCCCACCTGGCGCTCCGCTCGCTGCCCCGCTGCGTTTTCCCGCCTTCGCCGGCCCTGCAGTGAGCGAGCTGGCCGCCAGAGGAAGCAGAGGCCGAGCCCCGCGGCCAGCGGCTCCCAGGGGCTTCTCCGGGGCTACGTGCAAGTCCCAGGCCCGACTCCCTGCTGCTTCTCACACGGAGGCCAAAACAGTCCCGGGGCGGGAAGGCGCGCGCCCCGGGCCGCGGACGGTCCCCCTCTCCTCAGCCCGCGCGCCCGCGGCCGGGCCGGTGGGACCCGCAGCCTCGCGTGCACACGCTGGGAGCACGTGGGCTCCCGGCTCTCAGGCCAGAGGCGGACGGACACGAGGAACTAGCCCTTACCGTGGTGGGCCGAAGGAAACCTGCCGTGCGGCCATGCAGCCCTGGAGGCTGGGCTTGGTCTGAGCGTGGGTGGATTTCGGTGGCCCGGAGGGGATGGGGGCCACACCTCAGGATCCCCGGGGCCGCCGGGGACCAGCCGCCGGTGCAGCAGGGGAGCAGTGGGAGAGAGCCGGAGCAGGGGGAGGCTCAGACCACGGGCAGCCGGAGGGCAGCAGGAGGACCCGCAGCTCGCAGACCCGGGGCTGGAGCCCGGGGAGTCCTGGGAGCTGTCGGATTTGCGGAGACCACGTGGTCTGTGGTGCAGATGGCGCCTGAGAGATGGGGGAAGGGGCGGCGGGGAGCTCGGCGAAGGCCGGGGCTCGCTCATCTCGGGCTCCCCAGGACTCGGTGAGCCCTAGCCTGCAGAGGGGCCTGCCTTCCACAATGTTCGCCTGAATGGAATGGACTGTGGAAGGGGGTGTCCTCAGGTCCTCGTCAAGACAGGAGAGCAGACAGTGAGGCTGTGGTCTGCGGTCTGTGGAGAATGCGGGGCACCCAGTGAGGAGACTGCTAGCCCGAGGGGAGCTGTGCTGAGCCTCCTGGCCCCACCCCCAAGGTGACACTGAGCCCTGCCGGACACCACCAGCCCAAGGCACCCCCCCCCACCCCCCGCCCTGCTGGGGCCTCTCTCACCAGGCTCTTCCCTGACTTGCTGGGTGCCCTGCCGCATGCTTTCCTCTGAACCTGTGCCCCCTCTAATCTGGACAGAGCGGAAGCACATATTCTCTGGAGGGCCTTCAGTGTAATAGGCTGGAGTGGGAGGGCGCCCTGTGCTGCAGGGACAGAACGCTCTGAGCAAGACTGAAGATTTTCTTTAATCCTGGCTCTTCTAAGCCCATGGCTCCAGTTCAGAAATGCTTTTGTGAGGGAACAGGGGTCTCCAGTACTGTGGCTCCTTTTTGTCCTCGCAAGGCCTCCACTGGACCCAGGGAGTTCTGAGCGATGGTGCCATGGTACTTCATGAGGCCTTGCAGATGTCTGCCTTCTCCTGGTGTCCTTGGGGTCTGAACAGAAGGACTTGCCCTGGGCAATACCAAACCTATGGAGGAAGGAAACCCTCAGGGACCATCCAAGTGGGAAGGGCCTTGGGCCCTGGGACCAGTCCCCAAACCCTGAGCTGGCCAGGAGCCTGAGGTCACACAGAACATTAGTGGTAGATCCTGGACATTTGTCTTCAGTGACGCTTGACCCTCCTAGAATCCCTGCCTAGTTCCTGCCATAGCAGAAACTGCTGGACCCTGCTGGGAACTAGGACTATAGGAATTCCTATCCCCACCTCCCGACGGCCACATCCAGAACCATCTACAGGCTGTTCGTGAACCAGGAGGGTTGGAGCAAGCTGTGGCTTTCTCACCTCCTCTGGCCTGGATATGTGACTACATCAGCCACTAGTTTGCTATGTGACCATCCATCTCTGAGCCTCAGTTTCCCTATAAGTAAATGGACTTGGACCCCATGGCTGGGTCTCAGTGTGCAGTCTGGAATTTCCCAGAGGAGCAGGGGGCCAAAGGGTCAGAAGAGCCCTGCTCCTAGCTCTGTTCTGAGGCTCCAGGGTCTGCCTCTACACATGTTCAGCTCCCAGGGGCATGGGGGCCAGGGAGAGAGGGAACTTATACAGTGGTGTCTCCCCCACACTGCTCAAGTCCTGTACTATGTCATTAGCTTTCTGACAGGAATAGTTCCTTTGAAGCACTCAAGATGGAACTCTCAGCCAACACTGGTCACTCAAGCAGGAGCAGGTATATCTGAGGTGGGGAGGTGGCCTATGTCTGTGTGTCTATGTGCATCTACATTTGTATGTGTCAGTGTGTACATCTTGTGTCTGTGGGCAAGAGATTTGGGGGCTTCCTGTGTGTGGTCATGTGCACGGTCATGTGCACCTGTTTTCCTTGGAGTACTACCAAAACTGAACATCTTACTTTATCATTTTTATATCTTTTTAAAAGCTTCCTGCTAGTGCCATTTGCTGGGTTTTATTAGACTACTTATCTTTCTCTTAATGGTAAGACCTCTTTGCATATTATTACTTTTATATAACAAATTTTACAAAGGTATTTCTACTTTTGTGCCTTATCTTTTCATCTTATTTGGGACTATTTAAAACTAAAACAAATACTTAATTTTGATGTCAATTTATCAATATTTTTCCAAATTGTTTGATTTCTAGATTTCATCTGATGCTTAGAAAGTTTTCCCTAGACCATGAAAAAATTATCTCTCACGTTTTTCCTTTTCTAAGGAAATCTTTATTTTTATTTTTCTTTACAAAAGTGATACATGCTTATTGTCAAAAATGAAAGGGAAATAAATTAATTTAGGTACAGTATCTTTGCGTTTTCCTATCCAAGAACAAAGTTTCTCTTTCTCTCCATTTATGTTTCCTTTTGTAGCCCTCAGTGGAGCTCCATATAGGTCCTGCATAATAATTAAGTTTATTCCTAGAAAATCTACTTTTCTTGCTGGTGTTGGGAATGAGATATTTTCTTCCATTATATATTCTAATTGGTTGCTGGTATAAAACAAACTAACACTCCTTGAATGTTACTTTTTAACTGGTCATCATTCCTGATTTAAAATGTTATAAAATGAAAAAGATTTGTTTCCACGTGAAGACTGCCATATTCATTTCTCTCTCTCAGGGTTTTCCACAAGGTAAATCTGATGATACTTGATTCAGTTCAGTTTTCTATCCTTCTCATTAGGATTTTTCTTCCCTGTGGACACTCTGATGCTGACTAAGTTGAAAGCTAAACCTGAAGGCTTTCCCACACACATTACACACATAAGGTTTCTTCCAAGTGTGGACAGTCTGATGTATAATACAGTCAGAGCTGTAGCTGAAGCCTTTGCCACACTCCACACATCTGAAGGGTTTCTCCCCAGTGTGGCTTCTCTGGTGCCTAACTAAATGGGCATTAACATGGAAGGCTTTTCCACACTCCTTACATTGAAAGGGTTTTTCTCCAGTATGGATTCTCTGATGTACAATATAATCAGAACTACAGCTAAATGCTTTCTCACATTCCATACATTTGAAAGGTTTCTCCCCCGTGTGTATTCTCTGATGCCTAGTTAGTTTGGCATTGATACTGAAGGCTTTCCCACATTCCTTACACTGATAAGGTTTTTCTCCAGTATGTATTCGGTGATGATCAAGTAGGTTTCTTTTAGAAGTAAAGCATTTCCCACACTCATTACATTCAAAGGGTTTCTCCCCAGTGTGAATCCTCTGATGCTGCATTAATTTTGCATTGACGTTGAAGGCCTTTCCACACTCATTACACTCATAGGGCTTCTCTCCAGTGTGGATTCGCAGATGCTGTCTAAGCTGGGAGTTACACCTAAAGGCTTTTCCACATTCATTACATTCATAGGGCTTCTCACCAGTGTGGATTCTCTGGTGCTGGATTAACTTTCCTTTGACACTAAAGGCTTTTCCACATTCAGTACACTCATAGGGCTTCTCACCTGTGTGGATTCTCTGATGCTGAATGAGTTTTGTATTATTACTGAATGCTTTTCCACACTCTTTACACTGACAGGGCTTCTCTCCAGTGTGGATGTTCTGATGTTGCCTAAGCTGGGAGCTGCACCTGAAGCCTTTCCCACATTCATTACATTCATAAGGTTTCTCTCCAGTGTGGATTCTCTGATGTTGAATTAATTTTGCATTAACATTGAAAGCTTTCCCACAGTCATTACACTCATAAGGTTTCTCCCCAGTGTGGACTCTCTGATGTGTGATATATGCAGAACTGCAGCTAAAGCCATTTCCACACTCCTTGCACTGATAGGGCTTCTCTCCTGTATGGATTCTCTGATGCCTGCTTAGACTCCCATTAACACTGAAGGCTTTCCCACATACCTTACACTGATAGGGCTTCTCCCCACTGTGGACTGTTTGATGTGTGATGTAATGGGAACTATAACTGAAGCTTTTCCCACACTCCACACATTTGAAGGGTTTCTCCCCACTATGAAGTTTTTTATGCCAAATTAATTTTGCATTAACACTAAAGGCTTTACCACAGTCCTTACACTGATAGGGCTTTTCACCAGTATAGCTATCTTGATGATGATTAAGTTGAGAGTTATACTTAAAGGTTCCCATTAATTCTTCACATTCAAAAGGTCTTTCCCTGGAATTACTTATTTCATGATGAATACGTTTTGTGTCAGAGCTCAAGGGTTTCTCCAATCCCATACACTCAGGGGGCTCCTCTCCTGTGGAGATGATGGCATTACACTGATTCAAGTTTGGACTCTGATTAAAGAAACACTCTTCCATGGGGCTTGTATCATCTTTCACTGTTCCATCAACGACACTGTTTTTTTTCTTCATACTTCCTACTAGGTGGACTTCCTGCTGTTGTTTTTCTAGGATACAAGCTTCTGAGAAGTCTGTTTCCTGGGAAAAGTCCCCCTGCAGTACAAATGATATACTATGTTTTTCTTCATACATTTCCTTTGTCACATTATTTTCAGCCTGGATATCAATATCTATCATAAAAAACAGAAAACAAAATGTCATGTAAGAACCACATTAGGAAAAAAAAAAAAAAAAAAAAAGAACTGTGTTAGAAAGGATAAAGAATTGTAATAATCAAAGGGCTCTTTAAAATCACTAAACTAGTCCTGGCCAGTTTGGCTCAGCGGTTAGAGCATCGGCCCACAGATCAGAGAGTCCCAGGTTCAGTTCCCACTAAGGGCATGTACCTCGGTTGCAGTTGGTCCCCGGCCCTGGTCGGGGTCGTGTCGGTAGCAACCAGTCAATGTGTCTCTCTCACATCGATATTTCTCTCTTCTTCTCCCCCCCTCCCGCTCTATCTGAAAATAAATGCAAAAATGTCCTCGGGTAAGGATAAAAAAAAAAATCACTGAACTAGGTCAAAGAGTCTAAGGTTCATCCATACGGTGGAATAATATGTAGCTGGCAAGAAAAGGAAATAGATCCATATATGCTGACAGGAAAAGATGTCTAAGGTATACTGTTAAATAGAAAAACAAGTTGAGAAATAGTACGTAGAGTAGGTTCCACTTGTGTAAAGAAAAATAAAAAGGGCTGACATAGACATATATATTTGTATATGCCTGGACAACTTCTGGAGGAATACACAAGAAACTGACACAGGAAAGTTTGGCAGATTTCCTCTCCTCACTTTATATATTTTCTGTACTGTTTTGAGCATGTGCCAATATCATAACCTTAAAGTAATGATTTTAAAACTACCTATCTCTAAACCAATAACATTAAGGTTAAAAATGACAGCAGTGGAACAAAATTCTAGGTTTTATCCACCAAATGAGCATTCTTTCCATCAAACCATACTTTCTACTCTACAGTTTCTTCTCAGTTATCCCTATGTCACTGAATCCCTTGTTAATAAAAATGTAAATTGCTTAAGAAGGAAAAGGCACAGCATCCAACAACATGTAGCAATACTGGGGATAGCAAGTGCAGTCAGCACCAGAAAGCAAAAAAGAATTTTGGTTCTCTCCTTAGAACTTAAACTCTAGGCTCTCCCAATTTCCTCCTTCAACTTTTTTCTCCACTTCAGAAGGGCCCTGTTTGGGCCCACTGTGGACCCCTTTAATCACATCCCTTCCCACCCCTCCAGAACACTGCAGCACTCTCCTTGCCTTTCCTTGTACTTCTGCACTCAATCCTAAAATTGATCATTCCCTAAAATTCTTTTTATAAACTCATTTGTCTCTCTATAATCCTTATAGTCCCAATAGAGTTACATTTGATCTCTGCCATTTGTTTCCAAATTTCTCAAAATTGGGCCCAAAATACTGTCTCTATTTTTTTCCTCTCATCTCTCCTCAACCACATGTAATATGCCCTCTTCCCCAATATGCCATTATAATCACTCTCAATAGACCCAAATGACCTGAATCTCCCTAGCAGACATTGTCAATATACTATTATTTTTTTCCTGATTATAAAAATATCCATCTATAGCATCAGGAATTTACAAAAAATAAAATTCAAATTACCTGAACTACAACCATCTAACAATAACTACTGCTGATCTGATGTATTTCTTCCCCAATCATTTTCCTTCCATTTTTCTCAAAATATTTTCAAAAATAAAATTTGTTTTAATGTTAATAATGATAATTTTCCAATGTCTTTAAATATTCTGTAAAAATACTTTTTAAAATTGCTAATTAGTATTCTGTTTTGCACAGGTACCTTAATTTTTTCCCCAGTTTTACTGAACAAAAATTGACATACATCCTTGTATAAGTTTAAGGCATACTGCATGATGGTTTGATTTACATATACATTGTGAAATGATTACCACAACAGGTTCAGTTAACATCCATCTCTTCATATAGATATATATATTTTTTTATCCTCACCCGAGGACATTTTTCCATTTTTCGTTCAGATAGAGTGGGAGGGCGTGAGAGGAAGAGAGAGAGAGAGAGAAACATCAACGTGAAAGGGACACATCAAGTGGCTGCCACCTGCACGACCAACAAGGGCTGGGGACAAACTGCAACCAAGGTACATGCCCTTAGTGGGAACTGAACCCAGGTCTCTCTGCAGGCTGACGCTCTAATTGCTGAGCCAAACTGGCCAGGGCTAGATAAAAAAAAATTTTAAGAAAAAAATTGTTTTCCTTGTGATGAGAACTCTTAGAATTTACTCTCTTAACTTTTATTTATTTATTTATTTATTTATTTATGCTTTTATCATCAGAGCAGGAGGGAGAGAGGGAGGAAGAGAGAGAGAAACATCGACATGAGAGAGACACATCGAGTGGTTGCCACCCACAGGACCCCAACCAGGGCCAGGGACAAACTGCAACCAAGGAACGTGCCCTTAGCAGGAACCGAACCCGGGACTCTCCAGTCCACGGGTCGACACTCTAACCACTGAGCCAAACCGGCCAGGGCTCTTAACAACTTTATTATGTATCATACAGTGGTGCTAGGTATACATAATGTTGTACATTGCATCCCTAATACTTATCACTGGAAGGTTCTATCTTTTAAGAAGTACCTTAATTTAACCATTCCCTCTATACTGAAATTTCAGGTTTTTACAATATTTCATTATATAAAATTAAGATGAACTTTGGTGCACGTGCATCTTTGTCTATATCTTGATTACTTTATTAGGATATAGCCCTAAAAGGGACTATCCAGGTTATCAGTACAAACTTTTAAAGAGCTCTTGACATGTATTGCTAAAGTACTTTCTAGAAAAACTACTAATTCACCTTCTTCTCCAGAAGTTTATTCCTGTTTTGCTGTACTCTCACCATCACTTACTGTAATTTCATTGCTTTCAATACCATAGAAGAAACATCTGCTTTTAATTTGTATTTCATTGGTGTCTACTGAGGGTGAACATTTTTTACATTGATTAAAATATGTACTTAAAAAAATTTTTTTTAAGTATGTTTTTATTGATTTTTTTAGAGAGGGATAGAGCCCGGCCGGTGTGGCTCAGTGGTTGAGCGTGGACCTATACACCAAGAGGTTTGATTCCTGGTCAGGGCACATGCCCAGGTTGTGGGCGGGATCCTCAGTGGGGGCATGTAGGAGGTGGCCATTCGGTGTTCTCGCTTGTCAATGTTTCTATCTCTTTCCCTCTCCCTTCCTCTTTCTCTCAAATCAATCAAGACAAAAAAAATTTTTTTTAATAAAAAAGGAGGATTTATTCGCCCTGGCCAGTTTGGCCCTGTGGTTGGATCATTGGCCTGCGGACCAGAGTCCCGGGTTCAGTTCCCACAAAGGGCACGTACCGAATGAATGAATGAATGAATGAATGAATGAATGAATGAGGAGGATTTATTGAAGGGATGCAAGAGAATCTTATGGACCCACAATGCAGGAAGTAAAGCTGAGCCTCATGGTAAATGGGAAGTCATCTGGCTGCTACTCTGCTTGAGCCAAGGAGAACCTCACTATTTCAAGTGTGGTCCAGGAACTGAAAGCATTGGCATCATCTGGAAACTTAACAGAAAACTTAACAGAAATGCAGAATCATGGCCCCACACCAGACTTACTAAATAATAATCTGCATCTTTGTAAGACTCTCAAGTAACTCATTTACACACGGTTTGAGAAGCAATGAATTGAGAGCACTTCCTCCTTTCTGCCTTATTCCCTACAGCTTACTATATAAAGCTGTCTCCTCCAAAACACCAAAAATAATAAAAACTAATATATCATTGAGTACACATTATAAGGAAGGCACATGATACATGTTATCTCATTCCATCTTCAACCTGTAAGACTAGCACTAATACCTACTTTTATTATTATTATTCCATTTTCAGGGATGAGAACATTGAACTGATCTGCTCAAAGTCACACAACCAGGAAGTAGCTCCATTGGGACTGAACCTCAGAAAGTCTGCTCCAAAACCTATACTTTTAACCAGGCTATTATGCCAATCTGTAAAAATACTGTTAATTTTGTATCCTCTGCATTAAATACACAATGCTTAGAAAAACAGCAAGAGCCCTGGCCGGTTTGGCTCAGTGGTTAGAGAGTCAGCCTACAGACCAATGAGTCTCGGGTTTGATTCAGGTCTAGGGCACATACCTCGGATGCAGTTCGTCCCTGGCCCTGATCGGGGTCATGCAGGAGGCAACCAGTCAATGTGTCCCTCTCACGTCGATGTTTCCCTCTCCCTCCCTCTCTTTCCCTCTCTCTCCCTCTCTTTCCCTCTCTCTCCCAGACTATTTATCTGAAGATAAATAGGAAAAATATCCTTGGGTGAGGATTAAGGAAAAAAAAAAAAACAGCAAGAATCCCCTCCCCACCCAAATTACCGAATCCATTTTTTTTCTAAGCAAGGTAGAATTCCAAAATTAAAATTAAAAAAGAGTTAGAATGAGGCATTTGAAAATGATCTGTTCTTAGAATTAGAAAGAAATAGCAAATTGTGAAAATGGTCAGAAAAGGTCTCAAATGAACCCATCTCTATAAATCATCAAAATTTATTTAAATTTTACTCTGTACAGCTGGCCAATAAACGTGGCATGCTTGTATGTTGACATGCTAACTCATGCTTACATGCTAACTCTTCCTAAAAAGTTAAACTTTCCAGCATAATGGGCAATATAGGCCTCTCTTACCAGTCCAGAGGCCTGGAGGGTCTGTGACTATTCCAGCAGCCAGTAGACATGGGCCCCCCAGCTCACCTTCTCCCTCCAGTTGAGAGATCACAGCAGGTTTGAGAAGTGGAAATCCTATTTGGGGGAAAGGAAATAGAAGAGGAGGGTGAATAGTCTCCCACGCATAAGTTCCTAAGCCTCTTTTCAGATTATCTCAGCAATGGGGAGGGAAAGTAAGAGTCCCAGGGTGTTTGTGCTTAAGGTATGTGTGGAGGGACAGGAGGGAGGTTTGAGAAGGTGAGGGAGAAGTTGCCAAGAGCCCAGACTATGGGCCCAGGACACTTCATGCAGAACAAACAAGGAGAATCTGCCCAAAGGGACACCATTTGTTGCCCTTGGCCTGAGATTTATTCAGAGTACACTGACATCCTTGGAAAGACCTAAGACGCAAGTAAGGTGAGGGGGAACTTAAAGATAATGCTGTGAAACAGTAAGTTACTTTTTTCCACACTGTGTCCAAAGCACAACTTCTATAGGGTGGACAGAGTACACACTAGTCCCAGCAAAGCCCTATATTGACCTAAAAAAGGCTTGGAGTTCGCCCTTCCCAGTACTAGGAATGTCAGCCTCTGGGGTTCCCACTCAGTAAAGGTTTATGAGACCCCACCTGCAACATATAAGGGAAAAGGAAGTCAGGAAATCCCAATAGGGGGTAGAGACCTTACCCAGGGAGGCCACATTTCCATAATTCTCCAGCATCACATCCCTGTAAAGGGCCCTCTGTGCAGGGGACAGGGCATCCCACTCCGATGGGGTGAAGTACACAGCCACGTCCTCAAAGGTCACCGACTTCTGAAACAACAGGTTCCTGCTGCCCTAGGGCCAATTCCATGGCTCAGGCCCTAAGTGAGGGGCAGAGGGCAATATAAGGGCTCGGGGAGGGAGCTTGTGAAGAGCAAAATTAATAACAAGGCAAAAGATTTGAGATAAACACCTGGAAAGTAAACCAGGGAGTATCTGACTTCTTTCACGGCAGAGAGGCCACATGCCATTTTTATATGTATAAAAGACAACATAACCACTCCCTCACTAGTGGACACAGCTCAGGACCGACCCACCAGCACTCCCACATCATCTCCTTGAGGTCTTGGCTTCACCATCCTGCTCCCAAAGAACAGCCATGGCTTCCATCCCACCCAGCCCCATCTGCAGCCTGATTCCTGTCACCAACTTCCCAGCAAGGGGCTGTGCAGCCTCTGCTTCAGAAACTCCAGCAAAGGAAGCTCAGTGCTGCCCAGATCGGCCTGGGGACCAGGGATTAAGGGGTGGGGGCAGCAGCCCGTTCTGCTTCCAGATGGGTCTTGCTGAAAACCTGACACTTTGTTACCCTTTCCCATTCAAACTTCACATCCTTTCCAACCTCACTCAAGGTCTAGATGAGAAGGGAGCTCAGCTTCCTGTTGGCCAGCTACCCAGCCACCCTTTCGGCTGCTCCTCTTTGCATCATGACCGTAAGCAGTCAGCAATGGCTCTGCCACTCGGGGCTGATTCTGTGTGCTCAAAGGTCAGCTCCTCCCTCCTGAGCAACTGTAGATTCTGGCACTCGGCCTTCTTTAAAAACCTTGGGACACACTGGCAGGGATTTGCCCTCAACTCCTCTCTGTCACGATCTGTCTTGCTTGACTCTACCAACCTCCACCCAGCAACAAATCTAGTCCATCTTCTGGTTGTGTCTGGGAGTCTCTTGCTGTGTGACTGTGGACAGGCCAAATAACTTCTCTGCACAAAATTAAATGCCTTTAGTGGCCGCTGCCCACCACTTTTTACCCAGGTAAGTTGGTGCCTCCTCCTGAATTCAAACTTCAGCTGATGTCACCCACCACCTGCACAGGAAACCTCAGCTAGAACCCTGGGGATTCATTCTTGACTCCTCCGTTTCCCATGCCCCCACCTCCTTACTCTGACTCTGGGTTGTAAAGATTTTTATGTTAGGCATTACATGAATTAGACCCCCACTCCTGAACAACTACTTTCCTTAATGAAGCCCACATTGCCTGGACCAGTGGAATTTTCTGAAGTGATCACCCTACTTTTGAATCTCCCTGAAAGTTACTCTCTACACAACTGTCACAAATCTGATCACGTTAACTTCAATGGTTTCACAGGCTGGTGCCATAAGCCTGGGCAGTTAGAATCACACAATGGCTGTGTGACCTTAGGCAAGTCACTCTATCCCCCTTTGCTTCGTGTCTGTTGTGGTGTAATGAGTCCAACACAGCACCTATCTCAGGTCAGTTGTCAGGGATGAGCGATCCAGGGAAAGTGCTTAGTGTGGTGCCTGCAGCATAGGAAGCCTCAAACGATGTTACTGGAGCTACTGTGACTATGATTATTCCCAACCTGCAGTCCATGGAGATCCATGGAGGAGCTTCAGGGGGTCCATGAAGTCCCTGAAATTGTATGGAAAATTTGGTTTGCATGTACATTTTTCTGGGGGAGATGGTCCAGAGCTCTTATCAGAGGCCTAAAATTCGAGCCACTGTACCCCAAGCCCTAAAAGCCTCTCAGATCATAATGAGACATCCTGTCCCACAGGGCTTCTAGTTTTCTTCCTCCCTTGACCCTACTCCCCTCGCCTTCCCCCAAATTAGAAGCACAGCAGTCCTTTACATTGATCTAGTTCCTCTTCACCTACACCCCAGTCCCTGGGAATGCCTGTCCTCTATCTCCTCCCTTCACAACCACAGATGGCGCATCCCACATGGTCAGCTCGCAATACTCCCATTCCCCAGAGCCCTCTGCTGGGGGAGCCCCAGCACCAGAAGAGCAAAGAACCTCAGTGTGCCCCTGCCTCAGGCATGCTCTCCTGCTGCCGTCCCTGCACACCACCACTCTTCCCAGTTCCAGTCCAGAAGGCGTAAGCATGGAGGCCCTCTCCAGCTCTCATTACAAGGCTCACCAGTTTCCCTTCTCAGTTTTTCATTTGAAACTGCTCAGAGGAAGACTCAAAGAACCCACAGCTCACCTGGGGCCAGGCTGTCAGAAGCATGGGTGCCATCACTTGGTCTTCCTCTCAGAGAAGGGCTGGAGCTAAGGAAAAACACAGAGCAAGACAAATGTGAGGCAAGCCACCCCTACCAAGAACAGAAGATCTAAGATGCAGGTAGCCTGTGTCCAGATAGAAGTGTGAGCAGGACCTGACGTAGGAGGAAGGGGTGATCTGTTCACATGTTCAGCACCCAGGCCTCCTCCCAGCCATGACATTGATGCTCACTGCCAGGAACCCTAGGATTTTACAATTTTGATGCATATCATACACAGAAAAGAGTGTACATAAAAATGTATGCAGAGCCTAAAGAATAATAAAACAAAGACTCATATATCAGTGATTCAGCTCGAGAGAACATAACCAAGATCTTTATTTTTCCTTCTCTAAAAAGTATCACCCTCAATTACACTGCAAGAGAAGACAGACTGGAGGGGCTGCAGTCCCTGCACACAGGCCTCAGAGTCAGGCCCAGGGAACAACTGCTCCCTCACATCCTGCCTGTTTCCTCACACAGCTTAGTGTCCTCAAGAGTCCTAATTCTCTGTAGAGACCTTGGGAAGTCAGCCTTCCACACAGCCCAGACTTACCTTGAGGAAGCTGGGCCAGAAGTGAGGTACAGGCTGCCTCCTCATACTTTTCAGCCTTCTGAGAGCAAAGAAGCCAAGAGCTCAGCTACCTGAAAGTGGAGATCACTAATGGCATCTAGGGGACCATGACCCACAGCCACTTGTTCATAATATTCTAAAACACATGGACTGTTTTTTTCAATGATCCTAAAATCAATCTCAAAAATTTATAGTTTCCTAAAATTTTACCTACATCTTCCAGGGTTTCAACTTTAGTGCAGTTGTGGAAAACACTGGTTTATGATTCTTTTCGTTTCCTCCATATCTGGAGCTACTTAGCTTTTCCCACTTCTTTTGAATATATGGGCTTTTAGACCTCTTCCCTTGGTATTACTATGGACTGAATGTGTCCCCCCAAAATTCATATACTAAAGCTCTAAGCTCTTATATGGCTATATTCGGAAACAAGACGAGCCAGGAGGTAATGAAACTAAATAAGGTCACAAGGGTGGGATCCTAATCTAATAGGGCTGATGTACTTATAAGAAACTAAAGAGACTCCAGAGCTCTCCATCTTTGCTATTTAGGCACACAGTGAGAAGGCAGCCAGCCAAAACCCAAGAAGAGAGCCCTCACCAATAACCAAATCAGCCAGGCCCTTTACCTTGGACTTCCAGCCTGTGTAACTGTAAGACATAAGTTTCTGTTGTTAAAGCCACAGTCGATGGTATATTGTTATGACATCCCAGACTAATAAAGTAAGGCTGAGCAGTGGTTGATCTATTTTTTTTTAATGTTTTTATTGATTTTTTTAGAGAGAGAGGAAATGAGAGAGAGATAGAAACATTGATGTGAGAGAAACACAGATCACTGCCTCCTGCAAGCCCCTTACTGGGGATCGAGCCCACAACCCAGGCATGTGCCCTGATCCTGAATCTAACCGGGACCTCCTAGTCCATGGTTCGACGCTGAAGCCACTGAGCCACACCGGCTGGGCTGGTTTACCTATTTTAATGTTGTTTTATTTTCAATGAACCAGGCTTTCATTTATTTAGAACACTGCTCTTTTTCAAATTGTTTTTAATTCATTAAGTTCTGCTTTCTTAGTTTGTTTCTTTAGCTCTGTAAGAGACACCTTATACACAACTCCATTCCTCATCTCGCTCTTAGTCCTGTTCCAGGAGCATAGATTAGCTCTGTGCAGGTGCAGCCTACCAAGCCTCCACAAGGGTTTACACCCCAGACACCTGGCCCCTGCCCCGGGGCTTCTCTGATGTCCTGTATAAGACACCTGCGGACACCTGTAGACACTTGCTGGTCCCTGAAATGCAGGAGAGTTAAATGCCTATAGTGCCACCCTTGACCAATAGGGGACACAGAGGTCAATAGGTAAGTGCTTTCCCCTTTAGTCCCCCACATTAGATTCCAAGGCTCTTCTAAGATCCTGCAAGATAGAGTAGCAGTCAGGTGTAGCAGGGCCAGACTGACAAAGCACCCTTGTACTGGCTCTCCTTTCTTCTGTCACTCCCCTTGTCTTTCACTCTGCCCAGGGACTACATTTCCAAATAAATCACCTGCACACAAATCTTTGTCCTTTGTTCTGCTTTTGGGGCAAACTAGACTACAAAGGCTTTTTTCAAACTTCTTGAGGTTGCATGATTTGTTCATTTATTTTCATACTTTCCTATTTGGCAATTAAAACGTATAAGGCCATAAATTTTCCTCTGAATACACTATTAGCCACATTCCAGAGGTTTATGTTATGTTTTAATTAATATTTGATGGCTAGTCAGCAACAGTGTTTAGTCTCTGACCAAACAATTGTTTAGGAGAGTATGTTGTTAACTTATCCTTTGTTCATAATTTCTGGCTTTTCTGCATGGTGTTTAAATAACGTGATATATTAACTTCTGCTTTACAGATTTTTGAGGTTTTTTTTTGTTATAGCTGAAGTGTCCATTAAAAAAAATTGTCTATGGGTGCTTAAAAACTTATTGTATGATAGAAGAACATATAATTCTTGAATACAATTAATCAACTCTATCAATCTTATTATATAGATTTTTTCTCTGTAATCTATGATTACTTTTATCTAATTAAACTGATAGCCAGTGAAGAGTGAACTCTCATAAAGCACTGAGCCCATATGTATCATGGGAAAATCTTTTCAAATCTTGAAGAAATGAGTAATTCTAGTACTTGAAGAAATGAGTAATCTCTAGTACTAGCAGAGAAGAACAAAATAAGTTTCCCAGTCTTTTTTTTTTTTTTTTTTTTATCCTCACCCGAGGACATTTTTCCATTTTTTGTCCAGATAGAGCAGGAGGGAGAGAGAGGAAGAGAGAGAGAGAGAAACATCGATGTGAAGGGACACATCGAGTGGCTGCCACCTGCACGACCAACCAGGGCTGGGGACAAACTGCAACTGAGGTACATGCCCTTAGCGGGAACTGAACCTGGCTCTCTCTGTACCGCAGGCCGATGCTCCAACCGCTGAGCCAAACAGTCCAGGGCAAGTTTCCCAGTCTTTTGATCACACCAATGTTAGATAAGACAAAGGTCTCAAGGTCTGAGCAGTTCTTGCTAAATGTTAAAATGTAGCACAGTGCCCTGGCTGGTGTGGTTCAGTTGGTTGGGCATGGTCCTGTGCACCAAAAGGTTGATGGTTCGATTCCCGGTCAGGGCACATGCCCAGGTTGTGGGCTTGGCAGCAGATCGATGTTTCACTCTCACAACGGTTTCTCTTTCTCTCTCTCTCTCCCTATCCTTTCCTCTCTCTCTCTAAAAAAATCAATAGAAAATCTAAAAAAAAAACAAAAACAAAAAAAAACCAACAACATGTAATTAACCAAATCCAGATAAGTTTAGTCAACTGCAAAGAAGAAATCAATGTGTACTAAATTAACCAAATAGCGTACTAAAGCAATGGTTAAACCTTTCTTCCAGGGAAAGGGCTTTGGATGTAAATCCCTTCTCCTTTACTTGCTACAAGTAAATAAAACTACCTAACAACCCAATTCAAGGGATTTACCCTTGAGTTAATACCAGCACAATACTGATACAAAAAACCATAGACAAGTCTCATTTATGAATATTAATGCAAAAATCCTAAATAATAAGAAATAGACTCAAGTAGTCCATTAAAGCGATATACCATCATCCCATGAACGCAAGTAAAGCTTAGTATTAGGATACAGATTAGCATATTTTTTCACATTTATAAATCAAAGAAAGATAAACATATTCTTCATCTCAATAGATGCCAAAAGTGTTTGATAAAATTTGACATGCATGCCTAAATTTAAAAATGTATAGCCTAGAGAGACTCATTTGTAGGAGATACGTACAGGATTATTTATTATCAGTACTTTAATTGCCAAAAACTGGAAGCAACTCACATGTCCATTGAGAATATATAAATAAATTGCCATATAGTTTTTACAATGGAACACTACACAGCAGCAAAAATGAATGACTCACAGTTACATACAACAACATGGAGGAATTTAGGAACGTAGGACTATAGACAGACAATATGCTGTCATCTTCATGAAGCTCAAAAGCAAACTAAACACATTATTTACATATAAATGTATATGTGATAAAATTATCTTTAAAAACCGGTAAGGCTACATTAACACAAAATTCAAGGCAGTTGTTACCTCTAGGGGTGGGAAGCTGGGAGTCGGGTTGGGGAGGAGCCCAGACAGATGCAGCTGTACTGGTAATGTTCTCCTTCTTAATGCGGTGGTATGTTCATGGGTGCTCATTTTAATACTATGCTTCTTAACTGCAATACTATATGCAGCCTTGTGTAAACATGAATGACATTTCTCAAAAATAGTTATTTATATAACATGGGTGATTTCCAGAGTATACTGTCAAATACATTTTTCAAAAGCAAAGTGCAAAAGGTAGTGTGCTATCTTTTGTGTAAGGAAAAAGGGGAGTATAGGAAATGTGTCTCTGGTCATCCATGCAAAAAGAAATGGAAGGATAAATCAGAGACTAAGGAGAATGGTTGCACCAGGTGTAGGGTGGGAAGTGGGGGAAAGGATTCCTGGAATGGGAATAGCATGGAAGGAAACTGGGTAGAAGGGATGAGGGGGCAATGTCACGTCTTTGAGTGTGCCTTTTGTTCTGACTTTCATAACCATAGTAATGTTTCATATATCCAATTACATAGATATACATACATATAAATAAAATCAAACTACCAGGATGGGATGGGGGTGATGACCCAACAAGGAACACAAATGAGCCTAATTATCCTACAATTGAGTACCATAACCACATGAAAGTGGTGGGAAAGGAAGGAACTAAGTAACTTTGGAAAATAGTATTTAACTAAATACTATAAAGCTATAAAGAACTGTACTGAAATGCTGCTCTCTAGTTAGTGATCATGGAAAAAAATAACATGTAATAAACATTGCTGAGTCACTTAAAACAGAGTCAGGAGACTATTAAGGAAGTGGGGCCCATGCACATCTGCCTGTTTTCAGAGCTGCTCTTATGTAGCTAAACTAAAACAAACAAAACAAAACACAAAACCTGTTGCTAAACTCGCCCAAAACAGCCATAAACAGGCTGGAATCATAAACATCTTGGAGCAAGCACTACATGGACATACATGGACTTCCTTTACTTTCACCTCCCTCGTTTCCATACTGGAACTCACCAATCCAATTGCATGGAAGAGTAACACACGTGTGTGTGTGTGTGTGTGTGTGTGTGTGTGTGTGTGTGTGTGTGTGTGTGTGTACATACATGGACTTTCCTTACTTTCACCTCCCTCGTTTCCATACTGGAACTCACCAACCCAATTGCATGGAAGAGTAACGTGTGCGCGCGCGCGCGGCGGCGGCGGCGGCGGCTTTCTTCCTTCTCTCCAGAGCTCAGTTTGGGTTGTTACCTAAATCCGCATCTCTTGGATTTGAATCCTTTAAGACCCCAAATAAACTTGTTTTGTAGCCTCCAATCTTTATTGGTCGACAATAGTAAACTTGCTTTTCATGACGGTATGAGTTAGCAATTCTGGAACTATCGTATGTGTATTCTAGGACTGAGCAAATCAGTATTACGTTGCAGCAATCATTCCCAGGTCACTATCATCCCACAGCTCGAGACCAGGGCTCAGTTACCTTTGAAGCTGACACCGCTCCAGTAGACAACGCCTTCCAAAGGCCGGTTCCTTCTGCTCTCGGGTGGACGGGAGGGGCCCTGCCTTTCCTGCTCTTCCACTGGGCCTTGATTCACGACCCCATGTCAGGAGCCAGAGAGCACACAATCCATACTTGGTAAAAGCCCCTGCACGACCTCAACATGTCAAAAGACTCGTGATTATCATCTCACCCCTGCAAATATTCTACCCTTTGGCTGCTCCGACACATCTTCCTAAAAATCAGCAGCATCTTTCCCCAACTAAGTATTCGGGTCGTCGTGGCTATGACAGTAACACAGGCGTCGCTTCTCACGGGACAGAACGCATTCAGCCACCAATTCCAAGCAGGAGACCAGGAGGGGCCGCCACCCTTCTCCCTCCTCCAGTGGCGGGCAACCCAGCTCCAACCCGGGTGCAAGGGCATCCCTAAGGCACCCAGAATACCACCCACCGCCCGAAGCCCCACACTCACCTCCACAGCTAGCGGCTCTGCGGGCGCCGGAAGTGCGTCACTAGACTGCGGCGGAGACTGGGGCAGGAGCTTCGCTCACTCTCGGTGATGCTCTGGCCCCGCCCCCTGTGCGGGACTCCCTGGGGTCTCCTTCCGGTTGCAGCTGCACTTCGGGTTGGGCTGGGAAAAGTACCACTCAGAGGCGAGCGCTGGCTTCAACCCGGAGGTGGTGCCGGGGATCTGTCTTAGTAAAGCTGCAGGTGCAACCAGATTTGGGGTGCTAAAGACTGGATCGGTTGGTTACACGGTATCAAAGCCCACGCCACCCTTTTGGTAACATATTTCCTAGTGACCACTTTATCCTCTTGTCATGAAAATCACAGGTAACACTTAGAAGAGCTTAGGTAATATAAACAGACAACCTACATTTTAGAAACTAATGTTATGCCTTAACTGTAATAAAGGAGAAATAAAAGGAAATAATTTGTAATTAAAAACATTTCAATACCCTGGCCGGTTTGGCTCAGCGGTTGGAGCATCGGCCTGTGGACCAGAGTGTCCCAGGTTCGTTTCCCGCTAGGGGGACGTACGGAAAAAATAAAAATAAATAACAAACATTTCAATATGTAAATGTTTAGAGACCTAAGGAAGTGGTCAGATATTCTCCTTTTCACTCAGAAAGTGCCTGAATGCCACAGCCACAATGATGTGTCCTATACTGGTGTTTCAAAAATCACAAGGTAGTATCCAAAATGGTGAACCCTTTTTGGTCGTTTAAATGAAACACAGTACAACCTTTCTTGATCATGTTCCTGGAGAATGAGCAAATGTTAAAACTGTGCAAAACCGCCCTGGCTGGTTTGGCTCAGCGGTTAGAGCGTCAGCCCGTGGACTGGAGAGTGTCGGGTTTGGTTCCCGCTAAGGACATGTACCTTGGTTACAGTTGGGCCCGGTTGGTGTTGTGTGGGTGGCAGCCAATACATGTCTCTCTCACATCGATGTTTATCTATCTATCCCCCCCTCCTCCCGCTCCATCTGAAGATAAATGCAAAAAAATGTCCTCAGGTGAGGATTAAAAAAAAAACTGTGCAAAACCACACTGTGTTCACCTGAAAAACAGGTATAGATTCAGGTATTTTATAAGCAGTTTTTACCTACGTGAATGTGCAGGAAGACGAATGTCTGAAAACTTTTTCCTTAGGCAGAACCATCCTGTGTGTTAGAGGATTTGTGGCACTCCTGGTTACCGTCCACCACTACCAAGCATTGTAACAAAAATACTCCCATAAAACTCCAAAATGAGCCCCTAGGGGAGGCCTGCACTCACCTTTCCAGCCTCTTAGCAACTCCCATTCTCCCCCCCCCCCCCGTTTCAACTTCCACCCCATTTGCTGAGCATGCTGTTTTCTATCTACCATGCCCTTCCCTCCCCATTCCCACCCTCTGTCTTGACTGTTACTTGGTCTCAGCTCAATCTCATTTCCCTTGGAAAGCAAGCCTTCCCTGACCACCCAGTATAAGGGAGTGCCACCAGTTATGAGGCATCACAGCACTCTGTAATTCTCAGTGGTGACAGTTTAATGGTGAGTTTATTTAAATGTTTTCTCTGGTCATTCCAGGGAGCAGGGATTGTATCTAGTTCTACACCATTATCCTCAGCTAAAGCACAGGCCTTGCACAAAGAAGGTATACAATAAATATCTGTTGTTGCCCTGGCCGGTTTGGCTCAGCGGTTAGAGCGTTGGCTGGCAGACCAGAGCATCCTGGGTTCGGTTCCCACTAAAGGCACGTTCCTCGGTTGCAGTTGGTCCCTGGCCCCGGTTGGGGTCGTGTGGGTGGCAACCATTTGATGTGTCTCTCTCACATCGATGTTTCTTTCTCCCTCTCTCCCATCATACTTGCTCTATCTGAAGATAAATTCAAAAAAAATGTCCCCGGGTGAGGATTTATATATATTTGTTGTTAACATAATCCAAAGGCTCCAATTCCAGGGTAGAACCCTTCTTTATTTCTGCATCACTGGAGTTAGGGTATGTCTTAATGCCTGGGATCATGGACCATTGCCAGGAGCCCTTCTCTGCTTTGCCCTGATCCTGATCATCACTGTTTAGCCAAATGAGCAATTTACATGGATTCTCTCATTCAGATAGAAAAATGGTCCCACAATTGAGCAGAGTGATTGCTGGGGACGTCATCGCTCTTGAAAATAAGTGTTGTCTCCACTTCTTCCTAGGCTCAGAAAGTAGACCTTGAGCTAGGAATGAAGGCTTGTCTAGGGAAGAAATTAGCAGATCAATGTCACAGTAATGCTGGCCTCAAATGTTGGATCAAAAACCAGTCACCTAACTTTATAGGTAAGAAAATAAGCCCTCCTAAATAACCATGAAGCTTTGACTCCTAAGACAGGCACACATCAAGATACAAAAGTTCTATAGACGGCATGCAGAAGCAGAGACCACTCGTCTGTCAACCTCTGTTCTTCCCTTCTCATATGGTAACACAATCTCTAGCAAGACAAAGACGGTCCAGAAAAAAAAATACTACACTTCCCTGGCCCTCTTTAAAGCAAAGTGTGGCTATGTGACCAACTTCTGGCAAAAAGGCTATAAGAAAAAGTGATGCCTTGCCCTTAAAAGAAAAGGGACATGCCCTCCTGGGCCCAGTACCTGCCCCTGCCCCCACCATCAGCTACATGGAATGCTTACAAGGAGGTGAGCATCTTGGACCAAGCAAATGAAGATGTGGCCCCTGGGCATGACACAGCGGATAGGAGCAGTCATGGAGCTGCTATATCTTCCCTAGACTGCTTACCTTCAGATGATATACAAGGGAGAAATAAGCTTTCATCATACTTAAACCACATTGATTTGGGTTCTTTGAATCAGTAACCAAGATCACATCCTGAAAGCCCTAGGACTGAGAGATGATGGGAAAAGCACACAATGTACTTCAAAACTTAGACTGGTTCTCATATTTCAGCGTTCTGGATATCCATCTCCTTGCTGGGCTGGCAGCCACATTTCCTCCTGCTCAGCTGTAAGGCTTCTTCTGCACCCTCTCCACACAGTTCCAGGGCTTCCCTACCCACCAGGGAAAAGTGACAAATGTTCTCACATTAAGACATCTTTTTCAGTGTTCCCAGTATTAAGATGACAGAATAAATATTGTTCTGCCTGCTTCTCCTGTTGAAATTGTGGGAAAATAATAAAAGCCTGGTTGGAATTCATTCCAGGAGTTCAAGGATGTTTAAATATTATAAAATCCTCCTTTACTTATTGATATTGTGAATTAAATAAACAGATCACTCAAGCTACTATGTGGAGAAATATACTAGGGCAAGGCGAGATCTTACTCACAAAAGCAACAAAGCAAGCCAAAATATTTAGGAATAGTCTTAACAATAAATGTTTAAGACACAGATGAAGAAAAATTTTAATATTCAGGGACTAAACCAACACCAAAAAAAAAAAAAAAAACCTTATATAAATGGAAAGGCACAGGTAATTTTTCAATAGGAAGGGTATTCATTTTGGTTTAATCTTTAGGTCCAATTTCAAACTATTTTGAAAAGGAAAAATAAACTGGGATAAACTGATCTATTCAAATAAAATACCAATAGGGTTTGTACTAGAACTTGTGAAAATGATTCTAAAGTTTATCTAGGAACACCCTGGCCAGTCTGACTCAGTGGTTAGATCGCCGGCTCATGGACCAAAGAGTCTGGGGTTCAATTCCTGTCAAGGGCACGTACCTTGGTTGCAGTTCGGTCCCTGGCCCTGATCAGAGTTGTGCAGGAGGCAGCCAGTTGATATGTCTCTCTCTCTCCCCCACACTACCTGAAGATAAATGGAAAAATATCCTCGGATGAGAATTTTTTTAAAAAATTAGGTTCTATGTTTAAAATGGCTACATCTAGTTCCTATTTAAAAAATTAAAAATAAACTTTATCTAGGAAAAATGTTATTTATAAGCACTACTAAAACCTAAAAATACAAAAGGATTGAAAGTTAAAGAATGGAAAGATACACCAGACAAGTATTGGGCTAAAGGAAAAATAGCATAGTTATATTATTATAGCAGTAATTTTAAAACAAAAAATATTATTAGGCAGATTCCCATTTCAGGCAGTATCATGACTGATAAAACCTAGTGTGTAGAAATTTAGGATAAGATATAATTTATAACATCATTCCAAATACCTAGCTCAAAGGAACGTATACCCAAGTACCTAAAATTAACTAAAACAGAAGAGGCTAGTTGAGCTGATGCTTTTGTCAACATGAGTGGGATGATGGGGATTTTAAGATCTTGATATCTCAAGAGGTTGAATTATAAGATTTAAGAGGCCCACATGAAGAAATAGAAATAGGGGCTACACACACACACACACACACAATTTACTTACCCAAATGCCCAGACTCATGAAAGGATAAATTAGAAAATCATCCCACTAACAAAGAGGTAATTAAAAAGGTTGTGCTCCTTGCCCTGGCCGGTTTGGTTCAGCAGTTAGAGCATCGGCCCGCAGACCAATGAGTTGCAGGTTTGATTCTGGTCAGGGGCATGTGAGAGGCAATCAGTTGATGTGTCCCTCTCATGTAAATGTTTCTCTCTTGATAAACAGAAAAACGTCCTCAGATGAGGATTAAAAAAAAAAAATTAAAGAGGTTATGGTCCTTGTCTAGGTTTTGGAGTGGTAGTGGGACTTCCTCCTAAGAATTTGTAATCATAGTCTATACGGCCAAGTACTTTAAAATTAATACTACTTACTGGACCAGTAACTCATAATCTAAGAAATTATGTTAAAAATTAATCCTGGTAAACTTCTGAGTCAATACAGAATTTGGAGACTATTCTATCTCAATCTGTGCTTTCCCTCACTGCCTATTCCCAATCCACCTTCCTTTCTGGGAAGTCAGGCCCAGCCTCCCCTTGACTTGACCCTGATATTCTCCTCTACCCCTAAGGAGCTAATCAGTCTCCTCAAACCCCACTCTTCTGTTACTGAGACACAGTTGTCCCAGAGACCTCCAATTCTCTATAGGGCGATACTGTATGGTTAGAACATGGGCCCTGAAACCAGACTGCTTGTTGGAATTCTACTCTGCCACTTCCCGTGTCCTTGGGTGACCTAATTCATCTGTTTCCTCAATTGTAACAATGAGCTCATTGCAGAATCTACTTCATAAAGCTGTTATATTAAGTTAGGAAAGTATCTGGCATATGGTGCCAAAAATGTAACTGTTATGGTCATTTATTAAAGGACAACTATAGCTGATGCAGCAACATGTGAAACTAAGTTCTCAACCCTATTTACTCTAATCCTGTTTGTTTTTCTGACTTTTAGATTTTCTGGCCTCAAAATAGTCCCCCTAGAAATGACCCAAATGCCCACCAAGAGTAAGCAATAAATTATGGCATATTCACATAATGGAATACAACACAGCAATGTAAATGAACCTACAGTATTGATTCTGTTTATGTAAAAACTTGTGACAGTCTGGACAGTGTGGCTCAGTGGTTGAACATCGACCCATGCACCAAGAGGTCACCGGTTCAATTCCCGGTCCGGGCACATTCTCAGGCTGTGGGCCTGATCCCCAGTGGGGGGCATGCAGGAGACAGCCAATCAATGTTCTCTCTCTCTCCCTCTCCCTTCCTCTCTCTCCAAAATCAATAAAGGAAAAAAAACAATTTAATAAAAGCCTATGGTGACAGAAGTCAGAATAGAGGGTATCATGACGAAGAAATAATGACTGAAACATGGTACAAGGAGACTTACAGGGTGCTGGTATGTTCTATCTCCTGATCTTTGTGATTCTAAGTCTAGGTTTTTTTGTAAAAATCTGACTTGCACATTATGCTATGTCTATTATATTTCAGTGTTGTTGTTTTTAAGTTTACTTATAAAGTGATCTCCCAGCCTATTATTCAGTGGTCAGTCCAAGCATGTGATACAACCGCTCATCCAAATGCTGGCAAGTAAGGAAGAGGTAAAGCCACCTAAGTGCTAGATTTCAAGGAGCAGGTAAAGTCTGGAACTAGGTAGGGCGAGTGCCATTCTGGAACTAGGTACGGTGAGTGCCATTCTGGTTGGCAGCAGAAGGCACATGGGAGAAAAGAGGGTGCAGATTACATTCATCCTCCAAAGGAAAGGGCCAGCTCTTTGTTTTCCTACTGAGATATCTCAGCACTCTCTTAGGAGTGAGACCCAGACCATTTCCTTGGCCCACTAATCTGATCAAAGAGCAGGGTGGGCATGCTATTCTAGACAAACTTGTAAACACCAAGCTGGAAAAGCTACAATAGCCTGGCATTTTACCAGCTTAATGCCTAGAATAACATCCATTCCAGATAAAAACCGAGTAAACAAAATGAAAGCTTTAGTGATAGCTTTTGGTTACATAGGAGCTGCTGGGACTATAGCTGAAGACTTTCCCACACATCATACACACATGAGTTCTCCTTCATCGGCTCTGTTATCCCTGAAGATTATTAAATTATAACAATTATTAAAATAATTGTTACACTAATAAGGCATTGTTCCAAGGAAAGAAAAGTTAACTCAAACTTGCTTGAGCATAAAATATAAAAACAAAAATGGAATTTATTGGTTACCGAAATTCAAACACCCAAGTGTATTTCTAGTTTCACATATGGTTTAATGAAGTTGTTCAAACAGAATTGTCAAGATTGATTACTCTCCAACTCTGATTTCTTTTCTGCTGTGTTGATTCTATTCTCAGCTTCCACAAGAATCCAGGAATTCCTCTCAGCTTTAAGACTAAGGGGAAGGGATGGGATAAACCAAAGAACTTATATGCATGTATACATAACCAATGGACATAGACATGCTTGGTGTGTGTGGGGGGGATAGGGAGGAGGGTGTCTGTGGGGAAAAAGGAGAAACATCTATAACAAAAATAAATTAATTAAAATAAAAATAAATTAAAAAGACTAAGGGAAATAGAAGAGCATTTATTGCTGTTAACTGGCCACATTCTGGGACTATAACTGGACCATCTTGGGTCACCTACTGACATCTGAACCAACAACTATGGCTGGGCCAGGCACATGTCACACATTCTACTCCTGAGTAGAAGATGGAATCCCCAAGGAAATTTAATACACTACCAGCAAAGGGGGTAAAAAACTCTGGGAGGCCAAAATGACAATGTTCAGCTCAGGTTTCTCTCCAAGGTGGACATGTTCATGATCACCTAACTGGAAAGAAGTCCTAAAATTTTTTTCATACTTGTCACCCTCATAGAGTTTCTCACCAGTATGGATTCTTTGATGCTGAAGATTTCTTTTGTTAGTGAAGACTTTTCCACACTCATCACATACATAGGAAGGCTCTTGAATATGAATCCTTAGATGCCATTTTAATTGTTTCTGAGCACTGAAGGCTTTTCCACAATCCACACAGTCAAAGAGTTTCTTCTCACTGTGGACTCTCCGGTGTTGAGTTATCTTTTTATGCAAATTGAAGGCTTGCCCACATATTTTACAAGAATAAGGCTTTTCCCCTGTGTGAATACGCTGATGTTGGATAAGATAGGAAATCCTTCCAAAGTTTTTGCCACACACATTACATTCATAGGGTTTCTCTCCACTGTGGATTCTCTGATGTCGAAGTAGTGGTGAATTACCAACAAAAGCTTTTCCACACTCATTACATGCATAAGGTTTCTCCCCGGTATGGATTCTCTGATGTATAACAAACTGAGAACTACTGGGGAAGCCTTTTCCACACTCCTGGCAGAGATAGGATCTGTCCCCACTGTGGATTCTCTGATGAGTGATCAGATCTGCACTGTCATTGAAGGCTCTCCCACATTCCTCACACGGGTAGGGTTTTTCTCCAGTGTGGATCCTCTGATGCCGAATTAATGAGGAATTGCCATTAAAGGCTTTTCCACACTCATTACACTCAAAGGGTTTCTCCCCAGTGTGATTCTCTGGTGTCTAACATAGTGAGAAAAGCAGCTGAGACACTTCCCACACTCCTCACATTGGAAGGGTTTCCTGTCACAGTGGATTCTTGGAACCCTGCTGCTACCATTTTTGCCTGTGGAAATTTCCTGGTGCTGCTCCAGTTCACATGTTTCTAAGAAGTTGCTTCTCTGAAGAAAACTCTTCTGCAGAACACAAGACACCACCACATCTCTGTTTTCAGAAATTCCTTGTACTGATGTGGACTCACTATCAGTATTGGTTGCAGCATCTGACATAACAAACAGAAAACACAAGTGTCACCTGAGAATTACACTAGAAACAAAAGAGCATGAATATTACAGAGATTACTATTTTAATCTCCACATGGGTCTGCTAGCAAGAAAAGTGCCAAATATCACACCAGCAGAGAACTATCGAGGTGGGATAGGCTATCAGTGTGCACATGGCACATCAGACTGCTTCCTACGCTTTTCCAGACTATATTTGAATGACTTCTCCCTACTATGTTCTAGCATCTTTTGACCTTAAGGTATTTATAGGCCCACAGGTACAGGCTCTAAGAGTTAAGTAGTGACACTGAGGCTGGCAAAACTCAGAGTCAGAGAGTAAAACTGAAGAGTCAGAATGCAAAGGCAATGAATTGTTCTTTTTAAAAATCTGTACCCTGCAGATGTCTCAAGAGGCTGGAGACACTGAGCATTAAGGGCACCGGGCTTTGGCAAGACAAAGAAAAGAAAATCACAGAAGTGCTTAGAGGACATGACCCTCAGTAACTGCAGCTCACAGATGACGAGTAAACACCCTAAGACTATTGGCAACTGCTGTCTTGTCATCACACTCTCAAAAAAGTCTGAACCTCAAACATGCAGAAAATACTGTTCTAAATAGACTCTGCCTATTTGGAAAGGATGGAACATGGTTTATTTAGATACACCAAGACTGCAGGGTATTCCTTCTTATATTAACAAAAAAGAGACAAACAGCCACCTATAAAATGGCATTTGTGTTCACAAACACTGGATGCCATTTTACATAAGTAAATCTATTTTATATAAAATGCTTAATTTTGTTTTAACATTAATTTGGGTTATCTGATTATCTGCTGGTTAATCCTTTAACTGAGTTAAATGAGTGAGGGCTATTAGGAAGAGAGATGAAACTGCAGTAAACAGGGGGGCAACCAATAGTCTGGAAAAGAGTGAGCAAGATCACTGACAACCTGGGTCTGTTCCCACACCCTGCCTCTTTCTCACTAGTAGGCTGCTCAATGTTCTAAAATCAGGACTGAGCAATGAATGATGAAAACAATCCTATTTTTCCCTGCTGCTCCATACTCGACCATTCGTCTTGATCAGAATCCTCTCGGTTCTTCTAAGCAACCCCCACTTCCTAGTTCTCCAGTGATTATCACCTCCTTCCTGCTGAAAGAACTCAACTGCCCAGATGCAGTGCCTTAACTTCCTTCCCTTCCATTTCCATTTCCGGTTATCCGAATCTACCCTCTCAAACTTCCCGCTTTCCAATCATCCCAGACGCCATCTGCTCCCTTCCCCTAATACACTGCTCTATGGGCTGTGTCATCCCTCTTCTTCTTCAACCTTATTTATTTTTCTTTATTGATTTTAGAGAGAGAGGAAGGGAGAGGGAGAGAGATAGAAACATTGATGAGAGAGAACATCAATTGACTGCCTCCTGCATGCCCCCCACTGGGGACGGGCCCACAACCTGGGCCTGTGCCCTGACTGGGAATCAAACTGGCGACCTCTTGGTGCATGAGTCAATGTTCAACCACTGAGCCACTCTGACTGGGCATTCTTCAACCTCCTTTAGATCCTCAAATCCACTTGGGCTTAATGCTCATCCCTTTACATCCAATTTTTTTCTTACAGTAGTTTTTGAAACTGCCTACCATTAGTTGTGAAATTGACAGTGTATAACTATCAAACAGTTTTTAAAATGAAATACACTGGGGATTGGGATGGGGATGGGGATGGAATGGAATAGAATAGAATAGAATCACACACATTATAATTATTGCCAAGGGTAAATTTTGTTTCCTGATACTCCAGTTTCAGAGAACATGTGAGTACACAGGGTTCTGATGCAGAATATAATAACTACTAAGGCTCATAACAAAAAAAAAAGTTTGAAAAACATTTGCTACTAATTTTCTTTCATTTCTAAACTAATCAAAGTAAGACACTAAAGTTCTGCCTCAGTTTTGTCATCTCCCACTTCCTTCCTCTCTGCAAACTGTCTACCTAAAATTCCTACACTTGGCTTCAGTTTCCCTGTTCCCTCCTGATGGCCTTCCTCTGTCTACTTTCTCTTCCCTCTCTCACTGAAATTAAATATCCCTTATTATTTAAGATTCAGCCCTCCTTTTTGCTCCCTGGGGGTTATTTCAACTAAAACTCTGTAGGGTAGACTTGCACCTGTGCTTGTTGATCTGCCATTTTCCTCGGACTCTACACCTGTCTTCCCAGTGGCCTGCTCTAGCCATCCACTTACACATTCTAAAGGAGCCTCAGACTCTGTTCAGATCTGAATTCATAGGAATTCAAAACACTCCTGTGTCATGACTTCCCAATGTTATCTGACTCAGCTCCTCCCTTTTATGGGGAAGTTTTGATAAGATCTGGTCAATTCTAGCTCCACACACTCCTTCCTCTTCCATTTTTGCATTACCACTACCTACCCAATTCACGTACCTAAAAGTTAATGCCTCCTATATAATATTAGTTTAACAGGAGTTTGTCTTCAATTTCTTCATGCCAATCAAACCACATACTATGTTAATATTTCTAAAATATAGCATTCATGGGCCTATGTCACTAGTGGCAAGGATCACGGCTACTGCTCCATTCTGTTTTGCCTACTCTCTCATTTCCACCACAACGCCTGCATTCTAGATATTGCACATAATGCTGGGTGGGTAAGACACACCAACTACATTCACCTACACCATCGGCTAAGGAAAAAGGGGTCAGGGTATATTGCATACTCTGTCCCAGCCCGGATTCTAGGAAGTCTTGCTTAGGCGTTGAGCCCTAAGCCTTGTGCTTTTGTACTATTTACTAGAAAAGACCAAAGAATACTTGCAGACAGACTCCAGGAAAACAATCCCCCCTTTTTTTTTATTCCTCACCCAAGGATATTTTTCTATTTATCATCAAATAGAGTGGGAGGGAGGGAGAAAGAGAGAGAAACATCGATGTGAGATTGACACATGGACTGGTTGCCTCCCGCACCACCCAACCAGGGCCAGGACGAATCACAACCGAGGTACATGCCCTTCACTGGAATCAAACCTGCGACTCATTGGTCTGCAGGCCAACACTCTAACCGCTGAGTCAAACCAGCCAAGGCAAAAAATCCATTTTTAAATATGCTCCCCAGGTGATTATCCTGCACATTGAACTGCAAAGTTCTTCACAATGAGTATTTGGACATTTCATTCCCTTCCTTAGGCCAAATAATCTATCTTCTTTTTCTCCACACGACATCCACTGTAATCTGTAAAATTAGAAACAAATGGCCCTGTCCCTGAGGAAGCATCACTTGAGCTTCTAAATGGGAATTGCCCTAACTTCTCCTGCTGTGCTCCCACAGCCCATTACCTATATTCTGACAGGAATATTCAAAACACATTTTTAAAAAGTTGTTACATCTGTCTCCACAACGTGTATCCTCCAGAGTCTTAAACAAAGCCTGTCACACAGCAAGTGCTAGAAAACTGCTCCTGAATAAAGCAATCCTGTCCAAGGAAGGGCCACTGAGGTAGGCAATTCTGAAACTCAGAGAGGAACAACGGATTCAAGAGTTGCATATGAGATGCATGAAATAGAAATACATTATCTTAATAGAAATATATTATCTTTTTTTTTTTTTTTATCCTCACCCGAGGACATTTTTCCATTTTTTGTTCAGATGGAGCGGGAGGGAGAGAGAGAGAGAGAGAAACATCGACGTGAAGGGACACATCGAGTGGCTGCCACCCACACGACCAACCAGGGCCGGGGACAAACTGCAACCGAGGTACGTGCCCTTAGCGGGAACCGAACCCGGGTCTCTCTGTACCGCAGGCCGACGCTCCAACCGCTGAGCCAAACCGGCCAGGGCAAAATATATTATCTTGATAAGAGTTAATATTGGTGGAAAAGGTTTCAATTTTACCTATTAGAAAAAATCATCTATTTTATCAGCAGGTTAATTTAAAAATACACTGCTCTGGTGTGGCTCAGTGGTTGAATGTCGCCCCATGCCCCAAGAGGTCGCTGGTTCGATTCCCGGTCAGGGTACATGCCCAGCTTGTAGGCCCAATCCCCAGTTGGGGGCATGCAGGAGGTGGCCAGTCGATGTTCTCTTTCATTGATGTTTCTCTCTCTCTCTCCTTCTCCCTTCCTCTCTCTCTAAAATTAATAAAGAAAAAAATATTTAAAAAAAAATACACTGATTAGAAAAATGGCGGCAGAGTGACTGGAAGCTACACAGACCATCTCCCAGGACCAAACTGGAATTACAATGAAAATAAAGACAAATCGTCAGGAAAAGGCAACAGAAAAGCAGCTTGGAGGACCATATAACCAAGGACACTGACTGGATCCTGGTAGGTTTGGGGAGGCACGAGAGGGGGGCTGGGAGCCCAGAGACTGCAGCGGCCTTAGCTGTGAGCAGCGCCCTCGGGTTAAACTTCCAATTGGCTCCACAGCCCAGAGCCAGGACAGATGCTAAAATAGCCACAGCCACTCACCTTGGGCTCCGGCACAGGGAGGGTGGACTGGACTAGAACTGTGTGGGGACACTTGGGATTTAGAGGGCGCTCAGAGCTTTTGATGAGTTGCAGCCACACAGGACAGTGGTCATCTAACTCCTTCCCAGGGCTCTGGGGAGAAGCAGCGGCCCCTCTCTTGGAGATCCAACCCCACCCGGTGGCCACTGAAATGCAGATTGAGGCCCATTACCAACAGCATCTGCCCCAACCTTGGGAAATCCCCTTATGCTGAACACAAGAGGGAGTTTTTCACTCAACTGACAAGCCAAGGCTCTTCAAGTAACTGCTGACAGCCTTCAGGCAAAAAGCCAGAGGATAACTGTACCAGCACTGGGCAAGCAACTCTACCCAAAAAAGTAAGACTTGGCAGTGGTGTTTAACGTGGGTCCTCCCTCACTCATCCAAACCCAGGAGAGGGAGCCACAAACAGCAGAACACCAACACCCACTGGGAAAATTTGGCAGGCTCCAAAGCCCACTGTGACAGCCAAAATG